GGGGGATCCGGCGTGCCGCCCGCCTCCGCAAGCTCCCTCCTTCGCTTCGGCTCCTTGTTCCCCGCTTCGAGGGGGGAGGACTCGCGCGTCACCCGGCTGCGCAAGCGACTTGGCGACATCTCATCGCGCTGGATTTTTGTTGTTGATCATGGAAAGCGCGACGACCGGGGTAGGGAGGAAGGGGAGGGGGTGCGTTGATGGCGGTGGATGCGGGCCGGATCGTCCATTGCGCCGAGAACAAGGCGTCGCAGCGCAGCGGCGCCCCGCCCCGCCGCCGCCGGGCTGAATGTGCGTCCGTGAGTTGGTCTGGGCGGTTGCATTCGCCTGCTGCTTTGGGCGTGTTATTCGCCTCGAAGAGCCGTCGGCGGTGGCGGCAGACGAAGGCTGTTCGTGACGGGGTTTCGCTGCCTACGTTCCAGTCTGATCCTCGTGCTGTGCACAAGACTTGGCCATCGAGGCGTAGAGGAGGATGCCAAGTTACGCGAACAAACGCTGCTCAAGCGGCGGGCTTACGAAGAGTAAGTGGAGCGTGTTACTCTTATCATCGAGCGAGGGCCCTTGATGTTGTACCCGTAGTACCACCATCTCGGCCGGTTCTGATGGAGCGGAGTTGTGATTAGGACGGGCGTAGGTAGCGGGAGCGGCGAGCGCGGGCGGCGTATCCACTGGAAGCGGTCCACTGCAAATGGCACCCTCGACCAAAACGGGGAACCGCTGGACGGGGGGACCTTGGGGGCTTCGTGGAAACGCTGTCCAGCGGCCGGCTCAGGGCCCCCGATAGGTGGGTGCAGGTGTGCCCCGCCCGCTGGGTCTCCCGCCACGGCGCCCCCCGGGTCCGGGAGTTGAGTGGTGGGTTTCGTGGGGAATCCTGGCCGCCGGGGGGTGACCTGGAGATTGCCCAAGTGCCAGGGGCCTGGCGCCGACGGGGTCCAATCAACCCGGAAACCCGAACCTGTCTTCTTCGCTTCGTCACGGCTTGTTGTGCCTGGCTCGCCTGGGTTCGCCAGCGGGATTGGGAGGGACAGGAAGATCATCATCATCACCACCATCCATCCGTCCATCCATCCATCCATCCATCCATCCGTCACTGGCGCCAGGCACATGTGTCAAGGGAACGAGATGGGGGGGATCGATCGGGGCCGCGTGAGCGAGTGGGTGGGAGGCGTTGAATGAATGAATGAGGGAGGGAGTGAATGACAAGGCACAGCCATCAGCCCCGATGACCTCGGCAGCCGCTACCTCGGTGCGCGAGTGACACCTCCACTACACCTCACCTGGGTGACACGCGAGGGTTTGGCAGAGGCTCGCTTCGCCTTCGCTTGGGTCCGCGAGTGGCGCGGCTTGGGCGGGTGACTGACTGACTGACTGGCTCATCAGCGGACCTCGCACGCACGCGCAGCAGATACAGTACCTCCAAACAGGAACAGTGCTGTACAGCATCGTCTCTTACGAGAACTCGCATATCTAGCCACGTTACTCTGAGGCAGAGAGGAGGGGGAACTCCGCCGGCGCTGCAACGCCGAGATGTGTATAAGAGACAGGTGCTGTACAGCATCGTCTCTTACGAGAACTCGCATATCTAGCCACGTTACTCTGAGGCAGAGAGGAGGGGGAACTCCGCCGGCGCTGCAACGCCGGATGCGATAAACGCCCGTTCGGCTGCCAACCAAGAGGGCTCCAGGCTCCAGGCACAGACGATAGATATTTGTTTCGGGGTCCACCTTGGACGCTGTAGTCGGGGTCGGACTGTATCGTCTATTGTAGCTACCTAGCAATCACGGTCAGAGAACGCCGGCAGTTCGTGTGCTGAACGTGACCGGGACAGGTAAGTATGCAACATAGCTGGCAAGAGTGGTGAAGTAAAGGGTAGATCCTGTACCGACATTCAACAAGCGGCAACCTCGAAGAAACTCGGCCGGCGCCAAAGCCGCTCCCCAGGAGCGCCCCGTGCCAAAACTCCGCTCTTCAATCGCAACCTCCATCCGCTATGCTACTTCAACTACGACCCTCACGCGCCCGCCGCCCTGTTCCAGCGCCCCCCCACCCCCCCATTGCCCCCATCCCCATTGGCGGGCTGACCCTCGGGGAGATCGTCGGCCATGTTTCCCCTTTCCTTGCTTGCTTCTTCGCATGCGTGCGGAGGGGGGACCCTTTTTGGGCGCGACCGGCGATCGCAGAGACAGCGAGCGACCGCAAGCGAGGGGGGGACAGAGAGATAGACTGTCAAGACTGGGTGGGCAATGACGCGCGCGCGCGCAACACGCACACACACCACCGTTCGGGCTGCGACCTTGCCCTGCCTGCCAGCCTGCCTGCCTGCTTGGGCGTGCGCGCGCGCGACCTGTCGATGCCGGCGGAGCGCGCATCACCCGGCGACCTCGAAAGCCCGCCCCGGGGGCTAGGATCCGGTGCCTTCGCCTCCTACGCTCTTTCTTTGTGCCCCAGGGTCACGAGCGAGGCGGGCGGGGCCACCAACGAGCGACGTGCCGTCTCTTCCATGCGGCAGGGTGATGCCATCAACTCAGGGCAGGTGCCTTGCTTAAAGTCGACCGCCCTGCCGCCGCACGGTGCCGCCGACACCATCTCGACCAGCTTGTGGCATCTACGGGCCGCCCCTCCCTACGGACCGAACTCCCTTCGCTGGTAAAACCACAAGACGAGACGAACTCGGCCCATCAAGATGGCCCTCTTCCGACCCCCCGGCGCGGGCCACCTTGCGCCGCCAATATACGGCTGGCTCTTCTCCATCCTCACGATCCTCCTCTTCTTCAGCAACCTCGCATGTGGCGCTGCCGCCCCCGGCGACAAGTACCTCATCGGCGTGGGCAAGGCCGACGTCACCGGTCCGGTTGTCGAGATCGGCTTCGCCGGCTATGCCAACACAGACCAGGTCGGTACCGGCTTGCGCCAGCGGCTCCACAGCAGGGCGTTCATCGTCGCCGACGTCAAGAACCCCAAGGACCGCTTCGTCTACTTGGTGCTGGACACGCAATCGGGAGACACGGCCACGCGGTATGGCGTCCTCGAGGGGCTCAAGGCTCTCGGCAGCGAGTATGATGTGTACGGCCACAACAACCTGGCCCTGACGGGCACACATAGCCATGCCGGCCCCGGCGCCTGGTTCAACTACCTGCTGCCTCAGGTCACGAGTCTCGGCTTCAGCAAGCAGAGCTACCAGGCCCTGGTTGATGGCGCCGTTCTGTCCATCAAGCGTGCTCATGAGAACTTGCAGGAAGTGAGTCCGATATGCTTACCCTCCCACTTCCAAAGCTGACAAGTGGTGCGCAAAAGGGTTACCTAGATGTAGGCACGACGGTCGTCAAAGACGGAGCCATCAACCGCTCACTCTGGGCGTACATGGCCAACCCCAAGGAGGAGCGAGACAAGTATAACGCCGAGACCGATACCACCATGACTCTGCTCCGCTTCCGGCGTGCGTCAGACGGCAAAAACGTGGGAGTCCTGACCTGGTTCCCCGTCCACGGTACCTCGCTCCTCGGAAACAATACCCATGCCGCAGCCGACAACAAGGGCGTGGCGGCGTGGATGCTCGAGGAGGCCATGAAGGGAGACAGCTCGGCTGCCGATGGGTTCGTGGCTGGCTTCAGCCAGGCTAACGTCGGCGATACCACCCCCAACGTTCTGGGGGCGTACTGCGACGACGGCTCCGGGCAGCAGTGCAGCTTGGAGAACAGCACTTGCGCCGACGGTAAGTCGCAGAGCTGTCACGGCCGCGGGCCTGAGTTCCAAGCCCTCGACCTCGGAGTCAAGAGCTGTTACGAGATGGGTCGCCGACAGTATGCCGGGGCAAAGGCCATCTATGTGAGTCTTCCAATTAGCATCGCTCCATCAGACGCTCAGTGACCAACGCGTGCCGCGTATAGGACTCTTTGGACTCGTCAGGGACGGCCGTCGTCGGCTCCACGGTAAAGGCCTTCCACTTCTTCCATGACATGAGGTTCTGGGAGTTCACGCTGCCCAACGGCAAGACGGGCAAGACGTGCCCTGCTGCTTTGGGATATTCGTTTGCGGCCGGCACGTCAGACTGGCCTGGCGCGTTTGACTTCACGCAGGGCGACTCGGGCGAGCCGAACGCGAATCCCATATGGAAGGTCGTGTCGGGCTTGCTCAGGACTCCCTCCGCCGAGCAAAAGGAATGCCAAGGCTCGAAGCCTGTCCTCCTCGACGTTGGCGAGATGGACGTCCCGTACGCCTGGACCCCTAACATTGTCGACATCCAGACGTTCCGGGTCGGCCAGCTCCTCATCATCGTCAGCCCCAGCGAGGCCACGACCATGAGCGGCCGGCGGTGGAAGGCTGCCGTGGCACAGGAGGCTGCCACGTTCCTCGACAAGGACCCCATCGTCGTGCTTGGCGGGCCAGCCAACAGCTACTCGCACTACTGTGCGACTCCCGAGGAGTACGAAATCCAGCGCTACGAGGGCGCCTCGACACTCTTCGGCCCGCACCAGCTCGACGCCTACATCAATCTCACGGTCAGCAACATGCACTACCTCCACCCAGACTCGACGGGGACGCCCGATCAAGGCACTCTGCCGCCCGACAACCGCGAGAAGTCGCTCTCCTTCATTACCGGCGTCGTGCAGGACAACCACCCTTCCAGCTCCGACTTCGGCCACGCTATCCGACAGCCCGACGCGTCGTACCAGGTCGGCGCCGTCGTCAACGTCACCTTCCAGGGTGCCAACCCGCGCAACAACCTGCGCCTCGAGGGCACCTACGCCGCCGTGGAGCAGCAGGGCCCCGACGGCAAGTGGACCCAGGTGGTCGACGACAACGACTGGTTCCTCGTGTACACGTGGCGGCGGACGAACTGGTTCCTGGGATACAGCGAGGTCGACATAACGTGGGAGACGTCGGGCAACGCCAAGCCAGGCACCTACCGCCTCAGATACTATGGCGACGCGAAGCCCCTGATTGGCAGCGTCAAGTCGTTTGAGGGCACGAGCAGCACCTTCAAGCTGACCTAGAAGATGGGCTTGGGCGGGGGCTTCTGTGGGATGTGAGGCTGTACATAGTGCGGAATATGGCGGACGCATGGGCATCTGTTGTTGCGGCGGCGGCGAATACCGAGTATATACCCGTAGGTCATGATGATATTTCTGGACCGTCAAGCAATGAGCCCAGAAGGGCGTGGGGGACGTGAAGGGGCAAGCCAACTCGCATCAACTGACCGTGTTCTGTTTGCTCTCACACAAAGGAGGGGGGTCTCGTCCAACAGGTCACTGCACCCTATAAAGTTCAGACAGTACATCGTACAGCCTCCAACTTGCAGGAACACCAAAGCGCAGAAGCGTAGGGCATCGTCGTCCAACTCACCGAGTCCTGGCCCACGACAGCCAATGACCTCGGCGGTATGGGTAGCCGCCCGCGCAATCTCACGTACATGTTGTCGGTCGCTCGCAGCACGGGAGCGCCAGGCCGTCCCCCCGTTGACGGGCTAACGCACCACGCGGCCAACACAGGAGCGCACCACGTACGGTGTACGCACAAGAAGGGGGAGGGGAGAGTGGGAGGGAGGGGGGCAGGCGTCGTGGCAGGCCCGAGGCCCCATGAGGGGCTTAGTCCATAAAGCAAAGACACAACGTGGACGCATGCTTGGTGAAACCTGCCCTCCTCGGTCGACTGAACATGTCGTCTCACCTTTTGGGCCCCCGAAGGAAGGAGGGGGGCGGAGGGGACGGGAGGGGAGAAGAAGAGAAGAGATGGGCATTTGCCATGTCGCCCGGTTCCTCCGCTGGAGTGCCGGTATCACAGTCGAGTGGAGTGCCGTGCATTTGCTTCTCGAGACGCCCGCAAAGCACACATTTAGTAGATGTGGGAAGAGGCGGCAAGCAGGCGGACAGACCGAAGGTCGGCCTCAGCGCGACTTGGCGGTGAGGAACTTTTCCGGCCCGGCTGGGACCGATCGATCGGACGCGGGCCAAGATGTCCGTCGGCAACTAGTCTAGATAGACTCTGTCAGCCTCATCCTCCTAGTCAGATGCCGACAGCCGCTCGTGCGGCAAGCAAGAACCCTTCTCGGCACTTCTGAGACGAGACACACATCCCTTTAACGACCGCAAGGCCGAAATGTGGACGTTCGTCATCAGCTCGTCATGGATGGTGCGCCTGCAACAAAAGTACCTACGTCTCGTAATTGTATAAGGCAAGGTACTTGGGCATGCACAGAAGCAAGACTGGCGGCTCAACCAGGTTGGCGGCGCCCGCGCATCCGCAGCGCTGACCCGCAGCAGCGGCCCGTCGTTGACAAGGCAGGTCATCGCTCTGCAGGCGAACCACTCGTGTAGTCCTCCCACACGGTATGTCAAGTCCGTATTTGGCACCTTGCTTGCTTCAAGGGTCGTGCTCGTGTAGTTCAGACTGACAGTCTTCGGTCAAGACTCGAGACTCCGGTGATCCGAGGTTGTGGACACCATGGTGGTGGCAAGGAAAGAAAAGAGATTGTATGCTGTTTTCCTGGGCTACTTCGACTCCTGGCGAGAAAGCCATTGCTGACAGAGCTGCTATCGTGCGTTCGACGTTGTGCACAGGATTGTGGCTTCGCCCCGAATCTTGAGAATACTTGTCTAATACCAGACGGGAAACGTGCAGGCTCAAGGGGCACTAGCAAAGCGAGTTCGGAACTTCAAGCACATACGAGGAACAGGCACTGCATGCCTCCAGGATACGCGTGCGGTGCTGAGGGTGAGGTCGCCTCGCATTCGCATGGCCCCCCTAGCGGAAACACCTGCCAAATGGGGAGCAGAGGTAGAGATGCCAAGTCAGCTGAGGTGATCGACCCCGAACCCGCGGCTTGTCGTGCTGCGGCCGAGGCGCTGCTGTGAAATCCTGGGCGGCTGAGACTGGACTTGACGAACCCGGTGAGCTCGGGTTGGCCTGACGGTGTTTCTTTCTGCAGATACCGAAACGGTCGCTGTAGTGCGTAGTTTGGCAGCGACAAGCCACCACTGCTCGCGTGAGTTTTTCGCTGTCAGGAGACATTGCACAGTCCCCATCCCCAATACAAGATGAGATCACGCTGGGCGGAACCAGGACGAAGTATGGACTTCCCCGTGACCACCTCGAGGCCGGCTGGGTTTTCATCTCCCGGTTGTTGGCCGCCATGACACTTCATGTGTCACCGGGATGATTGAGCTAACCCGACGTATAGGAGCCTGACCATGGACTTAACAGGTGCGCCTGAATGACAGCCGGGGATGGCATGGTCTTTGCGTCGAGAGATAGAGTCGGGCCGTCAGCGCAAGTAGAGCTTCCTTTTTGCTTCCGTGCCATCACGCCTCAAATTACCGCTCCGCTGGGACGGGTCAGATCATGCTGCTAAAGAAGCAAACCCAGCTGTTGGACCAGCGAATTGCGTGGCACGATCTGTTTTCCCCTGTCGTGATGGAACAGGGGAGCACCAGGGCCACACTCTTCACGCCCTCTTGGCTTTCTTGTGATGAAAACAGAGTTCCTCACGTGTTGTTGGCTGTGCGGCTGCGCCGCCGACTCCGCTCGAAGCCAGACACGATCAGACTGTTGCAAGACAAACATCCATAGTCCGGATCGTACAAGTGCTTGGTGGAACTTTGCACGCTGGCGCGGATGACGGCCTCCTGATTGCCGGGGCGTCGTTTGCGGCGTTCGAATGAGGCGAGCGGTGGCTTTAGGCGGACTGCTTCAACTGTACCGGTCGCATTGTAGTATCTTTCACTGCTTACTTCGTACGGAGCGGCTGGCTGCACAGCAAAACCCCAAGGCGAGCGGTGGACGAGACGGGCTACCAGTTCCGTCTCCAATCGAAATGCCGGTCGGCGATGTAGCCTTGGACTGCCTTGCTTGCATCTGCTGTTGTGGGTACTCAAGGGAAAGGTTCTGCCTTCCGCGCTCTTCCGCTGCCGTTTCGGGACCTCGCAGCAAGGAGCATGCTATGCTCCCGTCAGTGGGTATAGAAAAGCAAGCGTCGCAGGCGCGATTGTGGGAACCGGAAAGCAAAACAGAGCTACCCGCCCCCGACCGCGCCCAAGTAAATGACAGGTCTTTTCCGTTGCTGACATTGTGCAGTCAACGGTTTGAAAGTCCGAGACTGGTCTGTTGATGTGGCCTTTGAATGAGCCAAATGAGAGAGGCTTGGGGAACCAAAGGAGGCACCGCTGGAGCGGCCCATCGACCGCCTCACAGAAGCCTGCCCCTTGACAACTTGGACTGGAGCTTGCACGGAGGAGGAGAAAAGAGGAAACAAGACGACAGAGGCACCCGAGGAAAGTGAAGCGAGCGGAGCCGTAACGCCACGTAAGTACCTACCTACCTAGTGGTACTAGGTACCCAGTATCGACGATATGCACAGGATAGGTAGGTGAGCCTGCTCAGGGGCGATGGTAAGGGCTGGACGGCATCGCGCCTTCCATCACAGCGTCATCTGCTATCTGGCAATGTAGTAGCACGCGACGGCGTCAGGCGGTACCACGGGCCGCCCATTTGTACCCAACAGTGAACACCAGTTCAAAAGTCTACTGCACAAGCCGGCAGTGGGTGCGTCGGGTACCTGTACAGTGAAGTGGGCCGCGGGGACTGGCTGGGGAAGGAGCCGCTGGCCGCTGGATGGGGTGCCTGGCACTGGTTGCACCGGTCGCACCTCCCGCGATTCACGATGAGAAGCCGGCAGACAACTAACTTGGTCCAGCGGCGTGCCGCTACTAGCAGCCACGGTGGAGGATCAGGAGCCGGCAGCGCCAAAAACGTACGTAGTACTTGGGCATTTCGCCAGACCGTGGTTTGTCAAAATGCAGCAAATTCAGGACCCCATCCATCCTTGCTCATCCCAGCCGTGACGCGGCTCATCTCCCGACACAGATGGCAGACGACCCGAAATCCCCCGCCACGATCTTAGCTCCAGATCTGTCCGCCAGGTACAAGCCGCACACCGCCGTCGCTTTAGCGAGCAGAGGCGGTTGCAAGTCGAGCTCCGAACCACGCTCAACGGGGCGGGCTCCTCACGCGTGGGTGCAGTTCGATGTTGCGGCGGACGACGTGGGGATTGGCTTGGGCCGTGTGCAAAGCCCTGCTGGCAATTGCCTTGCCAACTCGCCTCGTGCCGTGGCGGGGAAGCGCGACGACATCTGGCTGTGATGAGGACCAAGCACCGAAAACAAGGTACTTCGTACTCGGTGTAGGTCCTGCTAGGCACCGATCTCATATTCCGTGCCTCGCGTTGCCTAACTTCAGACCTTAGTACCTACCTAGTAGTAGGCTTTACATACCTGGCTGTCTTGATTGATCCCTAGTACCTCCGTACTGCGAATGTACGAACCAAGTATTTCGTAGTATCGGGCACCTTCCCTCCTGGCGAACCCGCTCGTACGACACTGACGCGTGTGCCTTCCGCTGTGGCAGGCACACAAGCAACGGGCGGGCAGGCGCCATCGTACGCCCCCGTGCCCCTGTGCTGCCATGGCCTGGCGCCTCGCCAGCGCCGTGCCTTCCCTGGCCCGGGGAGTCCCCTCCCGCTCCAGCTTTGTTGGTTGCTTGCTTTCCGTGCCTTAGCTGGCGCCATTGTCAGTCTGCCCTCGTGACCGATTCCCTCACGTCCCTTGGCGTCTCCAAAAAGAAAATGCGCCGCCCTGCTTCGCCTTACCTGACAGCCCGGGCTGAGGCCGTGACAAATTCTTTTCTCAGCCCGAGTGTGCAGGCCTTGCCGTCGACTCCCACCGCCTGGTCCTGCTCTGAGCAGGGACGGGAGCTGGAGTTGATGCTCGGAGACATCGGACGACGGCACAGTCCAGTTGTCCTACTGCTCAAGTTGCACTAAGCCCTCCCCACCGTCCCACCATGAACGGACAGCTTCCATTGTCCGCCACACCACCATAATTCATATTGGCACGAGTGCAATGCCATGGTGCTTCACGAATATACCCCGAACACTCTCTGTACATGAGCACATCTCTCGACAAGCAGTGCTTCGTAGCTTATGCAAGATAAACCCCCCCTCCCCAATGTTAGCACCAAAGACGCACCTGGATGAAATCAAGCCTAACCGTTGGATGAGGTACGCTGGAGCGGACGAGGCGAATGTGGTCCTACAGCCTCCTGCGGCGTACAGCATAATAGATTGGGCCAAGCGGCATGAAGAGGTCTGCCACGTTCCTCCCAGTCAAATAACTCACGAGTCTTTGACCTACTAACATTCGCTTGTTGTTTCTTTCGCCCTGCTTCCGCATCGCTTCTAGCTGGCCTGGCTAGGGCATGCGCGAGCGCAACCTGGAAGGGCCACGCGACTCAAGCGCTCGGGGAGCCCCTAAAGCTTCGGCCAGTCTGGGAATGGTGCAGTGTCGGTGACCCTCAGTTATTATTCCGACCCCTCTACCCGCACCCTCGCATCTGTACGTGGACGAGTCTTATGGCACATCGCGTAGCCCTCTCCCTCTGGCAGCCTTGGGGACGTCAGTTCCATGATCACATACGAAGCACGCCGAGTCGCTCCCTGGGCACGGACAACGATTACAAATCGTCCGCCGCACGATATCGAGTCCGGAGCGGTGGGTGAAAGTTCAATCAGCCCCTGTTCCTCATCGCCGGCGCCGCCTCCCGCAACCCCATGTGCAAACTCTTCTCTTGCTTCATGCTGGAGCGGGCCGTGCCATCGGGGCCAATTCGTCCAATGGCCGACCATCCCGTTGGCCACGGAGGCACCGGCTCTGTCAACGCCCAACGAAAGGGGTTGCGATGTCGCATGCCGTGTAATATAAGCCACCAGGTACGAGTAACGTCGGCCGATGGAGTTGCCAGCTGGTTGGGCTCCCAAATTTAACTAGTTGATCTCTCCCCCATCCCTCCGACTGACATGGACAACTCGGTCACCTGCAAGTCATCTGTCACTGCGGCTCCCGCAGCACCCTCTCTGCTCTCCCTCCAGGAGGGTGTGTGGTGACTGTGGTCCAGGCCCCGTGCACCCCGTGTGGCCGCCACGGTAGCACCAAGTCTGGTGGTCGGTGGTCGGTGGCCAGGCGTTGTCCGCTCTGGAAGACTTGCTAACGACACGGCACAGTGGAGATGCGATAGCACCTTTCCTTCGGCGCAAGTTCAGGCTGTGCCCGGGGCGCCAAGTCAGTCCCTTTTACATGCTTCATGACTCTGTTTGCAAGGTATGGCCCGGAGCACCATATCGGACCCCTTGTCAGAGACCCCTGGCCCTGGAAGCGACCACACTTTGTGGCGAGCCCGTGCCCACCCTCCTCAGCTGCATTTACGGTCCAACGGCTGCCGCCACGGAGAACGACATGCGTGTCCATGGCAAGCCCGATGCTTTTTCACGGTGGCTCGAACCACTTCCTCCCTCGGGGGTCCATCCCTTCCGTGCATGCTCGCCGTCGGTTCGGCTGCTGTTCCGCCTGCCGACAACCTCCAACTCACTCTCAACCCCAGCATGATATGATGAAGTGCCCTCTCCACACCTCCCTCCCCCGCTTGTCGTGTTACACAGGTCCAGAGTACCTCGCAGCTAGCTTGCCAACCCGCGTCCCGGCCAAGGGACAAGTACGCAAGATTTGATGCAGTGTCTCCCAGACGTCGTACGCTGGTGGGAGAAAAAGCAACGATTCAAGTAGTGATCCCCTGGCCAAATTACACGAGCAGCACCTCCACTACCGTGCGTCCCGACTCCCGGCTGTTTACTGTGCGTCTGGGCCTGTTTGCTTTCCTTACTTTTTGGACCCATTCTGGATCACAGTCGCCTCGCTGCAGACAGGCGGCTCTCGTGGAGATACTTGTGTATTCTCGTCCGTCCTTCTTCGCCCACCTTTCACTTCGCTTCCCCTCCTGGGCTTATTTCATACCGGCCCGTCTATCGTTCTGTTGATGCAGTCTGCCGTGATCCGTCCCAAATTCCATTCCGCCTTCTCGGAGACATCAGCGAAGCCAGAAGCCCGTCGCCATCCTGTGCAGTTGCACCAAATCCCTTGCTGCCACATCACCCACCCTTCACCTCATCTGCATGGGCGCTTCTCGTTCGCCTCATACTACATAATACATCGTCACTCATTGGGGACCGGAAACTTTATATAAGATCAGACGGAGGCCACGTCTCTTTCCACTCAAGAATCTGAGACCAAAGCCACCCTTCTCGGCCTGTCTGACCTTCCCGATCGCACTTCATACCAAACCTACGCCTGGCCCATTAACCCCACCACCGATCTTATTCCCAGGTGCGACGACGGCTGCCGGCTACCGCCTTCTGCCAAATCACTGTTTGCTCGCCCCTTGAGCTTCTGGCGCCCGTGGCGTGTGACATTTATTCAGCATGGCTACTGCTTCCACATACAGCCCAACCGATTCAAATGCGTCGACCAGTCTCTCCTGGCAAGAGCGCCTTGAAGGTATCCCCGCCTCAGAGACGTCCTATGACTTGATTCAGGGATTGAGCTGACGGCGCGTGTAGAGATCTGTCGCCAGGCCAAATTACTCCCACCCGTCTTCCAGCTCGTTTCGGATCGCAGGGGTATGACACTCGTTATGTCCGGACGGGGCTGTCGCCCACTAGCATCCCGCGTAAATGAGTGCTAACATACTGTGGTACTCCAGGTGGACGTACAGCGTGGTCAAGCAGAGTCATTGTCCACGGCAAGACTGTAGAGGCAAGGTACTGGTACGATGGCAAAAACCTCAACAACGCCAGAGAGGATGCCGCCGAGTGTGCGTTCAACTGGCTGAGTGCTGCGAGTTCGAACGCGTCGAGCCAGTCGTGGGGTTCCTGGTAAGGTGTTTCATTGCTCGGAAGACTATGAGTCTTGCCATTCGCAAGCAGAAACCCCTTGGACGTTCCCCTGTCGGATGCAGAGCTACAGTTTGCCCGACGCATCGGGCGATGACGATGACGCGCAATTCCTACCGCCTTGGTGAAGCTACCTTCGGCTGGCCCAAGGCGACGACAGGTCAAACGACGACTCCACACTTCATGTTGCTCGCGCTTTAATTTGTTGTTGGCGAACTGTCTTTCGCCTTGTATGCCAGAGATGAGAAGCGTTGCGTGTATTCCTGCAGGTGGTGAAAGGTGAATGGAAGGGCTCCATGACGGATTTACGATTTGATGTTTCGCGGCCAGGCATGAGGATTATACAAAACAAGATAATAAGAATAGCATACGGCCCTATTGACGGCCTCGATGGGACATGGGGTATTCGGGCAATTCAGTCCGAATCCGCGGAGCTTCAGTTTGCACAGTGACCATGTTGGCATTTGAGTGGCAAGGACATGTATCGTGCCTCGAAGGCAAAGCCTGCGGCGAAAGATGGGGTTACCCGCTCCGTGGGTTCTGCGTGTCTTGGGCCAGATATCGATGGCGCAAGCTCAATAAGCCCGTGACCATCATCATCCAGCTCTCGAGACCGGTGAACGAAGTATGTCTCGCTGAAACAGGCTTTGGATGCCGACCTCGACACCCCGGACGCCACTGCGGAATAAGCCACCCTCTGTCCAGTGTGGGGAGCGTCAAGACGAGCGATCAGTGGTCACGAGTCGCCGACAGTCGGCACACGCAGATGTCTCCGCCCGATGGTCTCTCATCCCGATCGGACCGTGTCTCAAGAGGAGGCGACAGGACGTGGTACCGGATAACGAATGCCGACGTGTGTGGAACCTCTCGAGTGCAGGAGGGCTCAGAAGTGTCAGAAATTTGACCGAACACCGCTAAATGTTGAGCCGTAGCGCAATTCTCGTCGTTCACCGGGGACACCGCCCATTTATGGTGCTTCGGCTTTGCTGAGCAACGAGACTAGAAGTCGCAGACTGGACCAGTAGCGCAAGGAGTAAGTTAAGGTGGTTTCGGTGCATTGTTTGAAGCTGGTGGAGGTGCCTGAGTCTGAAATGCGGTGTTATGTAATCACCCATGGCCGGCCGTAGCAGGCGTCGGGGTCGGCAAAAAGCTTATTCCGCGCCGCGCCTGGCAGCTTCGCGGCCCGGAAATTTCGTCGCGAATTGAGAGTTGGTCACGCGAAGACGACGAGGACAACAGCTCCTGCCCTTGGACAAGGGAAGAAAGCGTGGACCGCCGCCATGTCTCCAAGAATGCACATCTGGAGCACATGCAGGGCCCTGGCGGTGCGCACACGGCCGGCCGCGCAGCCCCGAATCGAAACACTCCGACTATCCACGAGGACACAGACCCGACTTTATGCCGACGATGCGACGCCCAAGTCTACCAATGCCACTGGCTCTGCACCCAAGGTGAACGTCGGTCCAGCTGGAAGTGGTGTTGGCAAGGCCAGTTCTGGGGAGACGGCACAGAATGCGCAGGAGCCCCTGAGCCAAGGCGCTTCGGTGAAGGTAGGACCGAAAGGGCCCCATTGCTTCGAGATTCAATGCTTCAATGCTAACGAGTGGAATTGACCAGGCTGAAGACGTGCCTCAGGACTCACATATCAGTGCATTGGATGATGCGGCACTGGAGCAGATCTTATACGGCGGCCGAACCGTAACGAGCGAAACGCAAGGCGGCTTGACTGCAGCACAGGAGGAGGCACTGTATCGCGAAGGCACAATACCTCCGCCAGCCCTGGCCGAGGCTATGTTGTCAAAGGCGCAAGTCCAAAGCTCATCGCAGGTGCCCGCGGTGAGCAGCAACGAGCTGGAGAACCCGGGTCATAAGTTCGGCCTGCCGAAGAAGCCGTACCCGGAGGGCTTCAACATGAAGCAGCGCTACCATCCCGTGCTGGAGCAAATCACGAGACTTCTCATGCGGGATGGCAAGCTCAGCGTTGCTCAAAGAGTATGTAGCATCACGCGACGCCCTCTTCATTGGGCCCAAGGCTAACAGCGTCTGCTTAGAACATGGCAATGGTCATGAACTTTCTGCGGACGGCTCCCGCTCCGATCTACAGCCCCAAGTTCCCGCTCCTGCCGGGAACGCCGCCGGCGTCCCACCTGCCGCTGAACCCCATCCTCTACATCACAATCGCCGTCGACTCGGTCGCGCCCCTGCTCAAAGTGCGGAACATTGCAGGTGCTGGCGGCGGCGGCCGCGCGCTCGAGATGCCCATGCCTCTTGCAGTGCGGCAGCGGAGGAGAATGGCGTTCCAGTGGATTCTGGACGTCATCAACAAGAAGCCGTCGAAGGGCAGCGGCCCGAAGCAGTTCCCGCACCGCATCGCCGAGGAAATCATTGCCGTGGTCGAGGGACGGTCAAGCGTGTGGGAAAAGAGGAGGCAGGTTCACAAGCTCGGCACGGCGGCTCGAGCCAACGTGTCCAAGAAGCTCAAGCTCAAGAAGAAGAAATGAGCGGGACGCGCAGTCGCGCGGAGCGACATGTGTACATTACGGCGACAAGGAGCGCGCCGCCACGGCCACGGGCTGGGCGCGACGGACATGTCGAGTGTAGAATACCATTTTTCAGCATATGAAGCCAATACTGGGTACAGCATGCGGAACGGCCGTCTTGGCGTCGTAGGCAGGGGTGCGTTGCGTGGACTTCGTGGAGGCACATGCCGAGCCAAAGGAGCCTCTTGAGATGGTCGCCCAGTCATGTGACGGTTCAGGGTGGATTTTAAGCTTCTATTTACCTTTATGCAGCGGCTGTGACTAGGGTGACCTCGGAATGTGCCCGTGTGGTCGTCGACGGCTGCTCAGCGCTCAGCTCTCCCTGGAGAGGGCAGAGGGGCATCCATGTCGCGTTCTGACGTTTCTCTCGCTTCGCGCGGCTGTGCTCATACGCATACATGGCGCTGCACGGGCCAAATGCGCGCACCATGCGGTTTGAATTCGCCCGTGTCACCGAGGGGCGGCCTCCAAGCTAGCACTGGAGGGACCCGACCGAAAAGTGGATGTGACAGGCTGTGCTGCAAGCCTGTCAACCAGAAGCTCGCAGTCGGGCGCAGTGGGGGAGCTCAGGCCGCAGTCGCTCTCGTCCAGCGGTTGGCGTGGGCGCTGAGCGTGGGGCCTAAATCGTTGGAATCAGAGCCAAGGCCCAAAGCGGCAGCACGGTCGCAGGCTGGATCGCGCCCCCCCGCCCCCCAAACCCTTCTCCACCATCGAGGCTCGGCTCCTGCCCACTGGTAGGGCAGCTGAGCGGCCCGTTCTCTCATGACTCTCGCCCGGTGCGGCCCCTTCCCCCTCTTGCAACCAACAACCCCCCGTGGCCACTTCCGAGTACATCGTCAACGACTCACCATTGAGGCCGTTCTGTCTTCGTCATCCGTTACGCACGACGCTCGCAGCTCCTCATTGTGTGGTCCCGTTCTTGCCACGGATCTCGCCGCTCCTCGACCGACCAGCCCACCACACTTCAACCTCCAACCTCCAATTTTCGACGAGTACCCCCCCGATCATGACCGCGTCGATCATCGCATAGTCAACATACCACCCCCTCGCAGCGCAAGACGACAATGCTCTTCTGCCCTCACTCTACATTGACGACTTGTCGCTTCTATCAAAAGCTCCCTCGCTAGATCTCGTCCAACCGCTTGCGAATCTACCACGACTCTTGCCACCCACCGAATATACACTTTATCATCACTGCTCTGCCCCAGCCAACGCAGACGTTGAATCGGCTCCTAGTCCCACTTGGACGCAGAACGCGTGTCAACGCCACCGCAGGAGCACCCAGTGACGGCACATACCCCAATTGTACCCAGCTTGCATCCCACAACGTCGCCCACCATGTCTAGGAACGAGCATCGGCCTATGAGCATCGATGCCATGCTGGACATGGAGCGGCAGGAGGTGCTTGCCCTGCTCGAAAGCAAAAGCCAGGGAAGCGCCTCTCCCGAGAGAGAACGGATTCGCTCTTCGTCACCCTATGCCGCGGCACCACACTCCCCCGTCCGGAGTATGCTGGACATTGAGGAGGAAGACGATAGTGTACGCACCGCGCCGGGTAATCAAGCCCCAGTGCGAAGCATGCTGGACGTCGACGGGCCCGTCGCGACGACACAGGCACCGGTGCGCAGCATGCTCGATCTCAACCGCCCATCACCACCTGCATCGACCCACAGGAGCGTTAGCCCCATATCACCTGGGACAGCCGAGCCACGGTTTTCGTCGTCGCAATCGATGGGAGCCCTACACCCGAGGAGTATGTCAGATGCCGCCATGAAGCCAAGTAATCTCGGAGGGCGTTCATCGTCACGCAATGACCGAACTTCCGAATATCAGTTCTCGGGCATACTGTCACACAACACTGGCGCGCCTGGACAAGCGAAAAGGACCAGCTCGTCAGGCAAGAGGCTGTCTCACGGCAACTCTCTGGGCGAGGCCCTTCGTGGAGCCGACCTCAGCAGTCTCCAGCTTGGTGGTGATCGTGGCCGCCATTCGTCCATCGGCAGCCGCCTGGGACAATCCAAGTCTCCGCATGGCCGGTGGGACGCTAGATCACGCTCACCAGCCACCTTCTCATCTAAACTATCGTCCAATAAGACAATGTTGGATGATGGACAAACCTTGGACCTCAGCAACGCATACCGCAGGCTGTCCGACGCCAACTTGGCCTTCAGCAGCGGGAGCCTGGCCAGTCTCCCTATGCGCAAGCGCTCCGATGACGCGGGCGAGGGCAGACTGGTCAAGGATTACCTCGGACCGGATGGCGAGCATCTTGAATCGAGCGACGAAGAGGAGCCGTACTCTTCCGACGACGAGGACCGCGGACGTAAGACGGCACCTAGGGCGTTGAACCCTCGCGCTCGCGGAGACAGTCGGGATAGCAAATCGCGGTCACCGTCAGGTCCAGCCGAGCGCAAAAGCTTGAGCTTGCTGGCTGCTGCCGAAGCAGAACGTATGTGCAATGAAATTGGGCCACCGTGATGTGAGACTGTTTGCTAACTGTGCCTAGGTAAGGAGGTGGCCTCGCAGCGGCCCGCTTACCAGTATAGGTCTCTGATCCCGGAGCCGGAGATCAAGATCACCAACACGTCTGGCGATACTGTGAAGCAGTCGAAGGGCGGGATTCACCCGCAGACAAGCTACGACCCAGCCTTGGCGTCTGGTGCGCCTTCTGTTGTCGACTCAGACGAGGAGGCCGACATGGACGACATCAAGCGGGCGCAGAAACTGTCGTTTTCCATGACCAATATCATGACAAGCCCGGAATCGCATCGTTCGATCCGCATCATCTATCGCGGAGAGTATAACAAAATTCTCCAGCAAGCCGAGGACGAGAGCCACCGCCTGAGAAAGTACCTCGTGGCAACGGACTTGAGCGACGAATCTACGCATGCGCTGGAGTGGGCCATTGGAACAGTGTTGCGGGATGGCGATACCCTCATCGCCATATACTGTGTGGATGAGGAGACGGGAATCGTGACTGGCGAGGGGTCCTTGGTGCCCGACGAACCTGGAGCGATGAAGGAGCAGGCCGCAGCGATCAACAGCGTCACCAACTCGAAAACAGCTCCAGCTCCTGTCAGCCCGCTTAGAGAGCTGCACAGGGCTGCGCCCTTGCACATGCGAAACGCATCTGGGGACACGCCGACGTCGTCGCCAGCGCCGTCTGTGAGGGGCGACCGGAAGAAGGCGGAAGAAGAACGAATCCACGCTATCAACGTCATGACCAACAAGGTGGTGCGGCTGCTGCGGAAAACAAGGTTGCAGGTGCGGGTGATTGTGGAAGTGCTTCACTGCAAGAACCCGAGACACCTCATCACCGAGGTGATTGACCTGGTAAACCCAACTCTTGTTGTTATCGGCAGCCGAGGCAGGAGTGCGCTCAAAGGGTAGGTGATTCCAGGCCGGCGATGGTGGCATCCGTGGCTAACAAATTATTTGCAGTGTCATCTTGGGCTCCTTCTCCAACTACTTGGTAACAAAGAGCTCAGTACCAGTCATGGTGGCGAGAAAGCGGCTCCGGAAGCAGAGCAAGTACAAGCAGAAAGCAGTCAAGCAAGTTAACAACCTCAGCAACCCCGCGGCGCGGAGTCTCGCGAACGCGAAGATCGACTAGCAGTAGCGGGCCGAGGGACGACAGTCGGGAAGGGGGCGCAATGGTGACTGAACAGCGAGGGCGCGGAAGTATAACCACTCATTTGCTTTGTTGTTCTTTGTTGGCACTTGTAACAGGTAGCGATACAGCGACTAGGAATAAGAATGGATGTCAACTAGAAACCGAGCTGTCTGGCATTGGCGGCATGGCGTCACTTGACGGTCACTTGATGGGTGTACAGGGGAGGGGAGGTGGGGTGATGGGAGCATGGGCGTCGCGCTTCGTCGCCACAGCTCGGTGTATTGTAGGCGACCCTTGTCTCGAAGTGGATGCTGCATACTGATAGGCAAGAACTGCGCTGTACCTACTTGCCTGCCTACGTATATGCATACAAAGACGCATTTGTTGCAGCGGCTTGTACTTGCTTCGAACGTCGCTTGGTCGTTCATCAGCAAGCGCTGTCCGAATCCAGTCTCCCTTCGACTGGCAAGGTTGCAAATTAGTGCGGGGGGATAAGATAGCAAGCAAGCGGCGGCCCAGGGTGAGCACCCGACAGAGGACGTGGTGTGTGGCCCCTGCTACGTGCACAGCTGCCGATTGGCGCAAATAGGGGAGGCGGAGGAGGGGCGCGGGACCCTTGAGAGACAACTGGCGGGTACGTACTTGGACCATACGACACCCAGTCACCAGCAAACCTGGCGGAGGGAGGGGTGTGACGAGACGGCGTGGACTGGAGGGATGATTGGATGGCACTCTGGGGCACTGGTTGGATTGCAAGAGCGACAGAGACGTCGAGGCGGTGGAGACGGAAGGGAGGAGTGGTGTCGATGATGTACGTCCGCAGCCCGATTTCTCTGCATGTTGCGGCACGGCCGGTACTGTACGAAGCCATGTAGGGCACGAGGTTCAGAGCGCTTGGACGCCAGGCGCAAGAAAAAGCACAGGGCAGTCACCAGTCAGTCGATGGGCGTTGGGAGGGCACCACTGCCACTGAGCCATCGTGACCACGGTCTGGCACGGCACAGGCCACGACCGGGCCAGAGCAGACCAGACCAGACTCCCGGTCCGTCCCTCGAGCGCGAAGTCGAGGGCGGGCGGGCGGGCGAGGGAAGCCGGAGCTGAGCGCTGGACAGATGGATGGTGGCAGGATGGCAAGCGGGCACCTCAAGTTCCAGCGAGGTCGGTCGGGTGGCACTCGCCTTGCGGCGCCTCAGCACGGGGGAGCTAGGGAGCGGTATGGCGTTTCGAGGGCCAGATGCGGGCGCTTGATTGGCCTTGGGTGCGCCCTCTGCCGGCCACTAGGTTACTTATCCGCTGCCGCCCGTGGGCCCGAGCCTGCCTGCCTCCGCCACTGGGCTGGGTGGGCTCCTCCATACCACCTGCACCTAGCACGAGGTGCGCTGTAAATGCCCCGACCTGCCCGCTGTGCGATGAGGTTCAGGTGCCTGGGTAGGTGCCGTCCAGATGGGCACCTGGAGGCTTTGGGGGAGCGGAGAGGGAGGGATGCGGCGGGAGCTTTTCCCCACACCCACCAGCTTTACAAGGAAGAGTGCTATTCGTCGAGCCAACTTTTGCTAGTTGTACAGGTTCTCGCCTGTGACCCGGTTCACGCCCATGCTGCGCCAACGGTTTTTTAGTGTCAAGGCATGGGACGACAGCGGCGCTCTGCCTATTGCTGGTAACTTGCTACTGTTCCTACCGTTGCTGACCTTGCTGACATTGCTTTCGTTGCTGTCGTTCCTCTCGTTGCTGTCGTTTCTCTCGTTGCTATCGTTCCTCTCGTTGCTATCGTTCCTCTCGTTGCTGTCGTTCCTCTCGTCGCTGTCGTTGCGGCCGTTGCCTCGGTAGGGCGGACTGTACAATTAGCAAAACTTAGCTCGACGAATAGCACTGCTCAGCTAAAGAGCAACGGGACGACTCCAATGGCCGACATGGATCCCTGCCATCCCATGCCATCGTATCCTCCCAACCTCTCGATTATTGTCGAACCACCCCCCCTTCACACCCCCAATGGGCCCCAGCGGCCCAAACAGGAGACCAGAAGGGGACACCCAGCGATGCAGTTCGCATCCAATGGCTCCCCGGTCTTCACTTTCTTTGCCGTCCTCTGCTTCTCCCTCTTTCCCTCGGCCACCCCACCACCTGCTGCAGCAGCGCTGTCTGTGTCCCGTCTCTTTCGCACAGTTCCGTTGGGGCCCCTGCAGCTCAGCCAGAGTCCCCCAGGTGAAACGTGCGCCCGCGCCCGCGATTCTCGCCGTCGCCGCCGTGAAGACGCAAACCCCGAGCTTCGTCAAGAAGACGACCCCTCCCGCCGATATACAACTGCACAACGAGCGTGCCTAGACGAGAGGCGCATCCGCGACCGGAACCTTGAGCGCTGGCAAGAGCGACGATCGCGCACCAAGCCTCCAGCGCCTCCGCAGGCGCGAACGAGCGCGGATTGCGACCGTCGTAACTGAATCGCTGCACCGCCTCGCAGTGATTCCTTGGCCGCGAGTACGAAGCGTAACACGCGGCATCGTCGACTTCAGCACCCTCGCGGGCCCGCCCTCCATGCCTTCGTCGCCGTTGCTCGCCGTGAACAACAACGTCTCTCTCATCAGCATTCACGTCGCGCCGAGCAGCTGGCTCGCTTCCGTCATCATCGTCCTCGTCTTCCTCGCCCTATACATCCCGCGCCTGTCGCTGCGCATTCCGCGATTCGCACTGCCGGCGTCTGTCTCCGGCCCATCACTGCCGGCGCTACCTTCTTACCGCCGCCTGACGGCGCCCCCGAGCAACAGTCCCGGCAGGGAGCTCGTTCTACGCACAGCAACTTCCACCGCACTCTCGGCTTCAGACCTGACCGCGCAGAGCATTCGCGATGGCTGTCGATCTTCTCGACGGCCTCGACGCCTCCTTGCAGGACTTCGAGCCCCCAGTCAGCCCTACGAGCATGCGCCACTCGTCGGCGCTGCCCAGCGAACCGGCCACGGAGGATCTCGAGGAATCGGACATCGGTTCAGGCGGTGGGTACTCGCCGCCAGCGTGGCGGAACCTCGGCAACGGAGATCGGAGTCGCGGCTTCTGGAAGCCCCAGCCAGAGCGATTTCATAGGGCGCTGTCGCCAGACTCGGATGACGACTATCAGAGCGACGACGACGTGGTCCTCGAGCAGGCCATTCGCACGAGGCTACCCCAGGGGAGCCTCAGCCCAGATAAGGGCCGCAGTCCAAGCCCGCCACCGCCCGAAGACACGACTCTGAAGGTTGACCACAAGAGCCCATCTCGAGAACTGCCCTTGGCGGATTTGAGGGCCTCACCACAGCCGCCAGATAATTGTAAATCCCCAGCTCTCGCATGGGTAAGTCCAAGCGCTAACTGGGTCGTCTCTCCGCAGACATCCGCTTTGCTGTGCGCGCCGAGGTTTTGCAGCGCACGAGACCTATTGAGAACGCCATAACATTCCTCCAGAAGCAATACAATGCCATCTTTGCGAGCTGGGGCACGATCCTGACCACCTTCTTTATCGCCGTATTCTCCATATCCACGGCCAAAATGCTATCAAAGCCCGCGGCACCGCGACCAGTAGGTGATCTGGTCAAGATTGCGGGCTTAGCGCGCTCCTTCGAGCCGCTCATCTACTTCTCCGAGCCGGCCGTTGCGCATGTCAAGGAACTGCAATCGACGAGCATCGCGATATGGGACCTGGGCGAGTCGGTGCGGATCAGCGGCATGGCGGACGCCGACACGATTGTTCAGAACCTCGATGCGATTAGCGAGACGATGAAGAAGCTCGTTCTGGACTTGACCAGGTTTCACACTCACGTTGACGGAGACATCGATGCGTAAGTCACGAGTCGCTTCGCCCTAGTTTTCGTGAAGGCTGGCTGACGACAATGGCAGTATACTCGATGTCATGGACTGGGCAAAGATGCACCTGAACCGCCTCAACACGCGGCCTCCACCTTCCCACCTCTCACACGCATACGACAACATTCACAACCTCCTTACTGACGCCCAAATCCTCGAAGATGCCACAGGCGCGCCGACCCGCGTGGGTCGCGTCACTACCGCCGTGTTCGGCATGAGTAACCCGCAGCGCGAGCAGAGGATGATCCAGCGCCTCTTCACGGCCTTCATCTCCACCATCGAGGAGGCGATCCAGGACGAGCTCGAGCACAGCGTCAGCCTCTTCGCGCTCTTCGACGACATCGACGACCACTTCCTCAAGCTGGCGCGGCACGTGGCGCACGAGTCGTCGACACAGGAGGAGTTCCACGCGGAGCTCCTCTCGGGGCTCTGGGCGCGCATGCTCGGCCCCCGCGCTGCCGAGCTGCGCAAGTTTGAGCGCAACAAGGCCCTCCTGCACGACGTGCGCCACAAGACGGTCCGCAACAAGGGCAACCTCGTCAGCCACCACGGCAAGCTCCTCACCCTCAAGGCCTCGCTCGAGTCCCTGCGCGGCAAGCTCGCCTCCCAGCTCGTCCGCGGCCTCAACTCGAGCACCCTCACACTCGAGGACCAGATACGCGGCATCGCCGGCGTGCGCGACTACCTCTCCGACATTCGCCGCCAGCAGAAGAGCAAGGTCATGGAGACGCTCTACTCCATCGACCGCACCAAGAAGTACAGCGTCACGCCGGAGATCGAGATGGGCAGCAGCGGCTTGTAAGAGAGAGAGACACACACACACGCTTTTGGAGGTTTTTCTTTTGGGCGGGCACACACACACACTGCACTGGATGTCTCTTCTAAGGGGCGTTGGAAAGGTCTGGGCAGGCATATCAATCACATTTTACACGGTGGGCACCACGGGATGGCACAGAATGGGAGGTGTTTTTTTTTAGTAGTGCTATTTGTAGAGCCAGGTTTTGCTAGTTGTAGAGCCCATAGGCGCAATAGCATCAACGAGTGCAACGAGAGCAACGAGAGCAACGAGAGCAACGAGAGCAACGAGAGCAACGAGAGCAACGAGAGCAACGAGAGCAACGAGAGCAACGAGAGCAACGAG